ATCAGCATATTAAAATTATTATAAAATTATCACCTACATGTGTATTCTAAATTTGAAGGAAACGGTATTAGAACTTTTAGAGATAACTCAAGAAGGTGATCTGATTCCTATTATTGAGCAACCCATGTTTGGCACGATAAAGGATTTGGCTGTTCTTCATTGCAACTTTTCGGGTCCTTTATTATGTGATCCGGTTAATGGAACCGCACAAATGTATCTTGGTGATAATATATCTGAATTACAGCATCTTAGAATGATACCAGGGCAAGATGTTCTAGTTTGTTTGTCCGATTCTGGAGTTTTATCATTTATAGCATATACAGAATGTGTAAATGTACATTTTAATGAAGGTCAGCAAAATGTTCATAAAGGAAAGGGAAGGGTTGACTCTTCAGTAATTGGGTCGTGTATTGAGACGTACAGAAAGACTGGGAGGTTTCAAATAATAAAAGAGGTTAGATTCGAGATAGTAATTTATTTAAATAAATGTGCTTTATATTTAAAGATGTAAATATAATACAATCTTCATGGTAAAGATCCCTTTATCACAACCTACACAACCTGGTTTTGACTATCAAGAACTTGGCCGATTAGTGTGCATAGATCCTTCGTGAGTAGACACTCTGATATTCTATGAGATGATGATATAATGATTAATATTATATTATTTTTTACCTGAATTTCTAAAGTGGTTGTCTTATTGCTGTGGCTGCATGGCAAAATGTATTCCAATTGTTTTCGCTACATCGCGGTTTAAAAGTTTCTTTTGATCCAATTAGTCAGGTACGATTTATGGTGCCATGAACGTTATATATTCAATTTCATGTGTCATTTATGTCAATTTTTTTTTTCTTTGTTGGCTAGACAAAAGAATATCCCCAAGGCGGAATAATATGTTGTATGACATTTTTATATCCATCAGACAAGACGCGAATCTTATTGGCAATGGCTATATACGAGTATGCCTTCTTTGTTGATACATACAAATATATATACTGGATATTTGTGTTTTCTTGCAATTAAATTTACCAAAATGAGTTTATTATTATAGCGACTTAGATAAACAAACAAGCATTATAATATATCAATTTTGGACAGAAGATGCTCCTGAAAGGAATATAACACCTTTTTTCAAATTACTTTTACGCAAGGGTATGATAGAAATTCTTGTTTACATTGAATGCACCATTATGTTGTTTCTTTTTAACATTTTCGATAATTCTATAGACGAACCGCTTCCATTACATCTTATACCTCTTCCGAATTTTCCTGAGTGTTTTTTGCTAGTTAATGTGCGAATTATTGTATATTTATATATTTATAAATACAGTCAAACCTCTCTAAATGTACGTCCTTAGAATCATACGCTAAAATAATGTAAGTGTGCGTTAGAAGGAGAAGTTTATAAAATTTCTATGGGCTTGGTTGTGTGCACTTCGAGAGGTTTGATTGTACAAACATATGTATTGAACCATTGACATTAACGTTAATATGTTCATATAACAGGAACGTGAAACTTGTTTCATTCAAGCAAAACAAGTTATGAATGGAATTACTGATTTTTGTCGAGAATCACTACCTTTTCCTGAATGTAATTTTACAAATCATTTAATTTGTTTTCATTTGTTTAATAAGTCATAATGTTTAAAATTCATAAGGTGATAATATTCACCAATAAGTATTCATTAGTTCTTGTAACTGCGTTCGCTTATCCTGCGGATGCATATGCATCAACACAGGCTTCGTCATCTCAACAATACGTTTATGCCGGTACAGAAAATGGAGACTTATATCGGATTGATATAATTTCTGATGTCCAGATCGAATATACCCTTTTGCAGAATGGATTAAATTCGATTGGAACTGCAATGACAATGCTATGTTTTGACCCTAATTTCGGGGATTTTGTCATTTTAAGCGGGGAAATGAGTGATGGTACAGTTGTTCTGGTACGATCACAAAAGTTTTTGATACATATTTTTTCGTTATAACATGACTTGTTTTATATTCAAGGATTCATATTCATTCTTCAGATTTCCCCGAATTCCAAGGCTGAAATAGCTTGTAGTATACCCAATTGGGCACCAATATTAGATTTCCAAATGCTCGATTTCCATCAAGAGCGTCATGATGTTATTTTTACTTGTAGTGGACGTGATAAACACGGTTCTATTAGGGAATTAAGAAAAGCTGTCTGCGTCAATATAATCACGCGAACAGGTCCAGATTTCCATGGGTAATGAATTTATCAACTTATTTAAAACACCTATCCTATTTTGAAAGTTTAATGTTGTAATTTTTTTGTACATATGATAGTGTTAATGCGCTTTGGAATTTAAAGTACAGTCATGATGATGAAGCTGATTCTTTTTTGGCTCTTTCGTATGCCAATTCTACGCGTTTAATGAAAGTTAGTCAAGGAGAATTACATGATATTAGTGAGTACAGTGGGCTTGATTTGGAAGTGAGCTCCTTATGTGTGGCTTCTTTCAGTTCCGCTCCAGGTTTTGTAATTCAAATCCATCGTCTAAAAATTGTTGTATCTGAGCCTAAAGTGGGAATGGGCGGTATGTATAAATCAACTTTGCTTTTTAGAATTTTAATATTATATGAATGATATTTCATCATCATTATAATGAAGCTATCGTTGAAAACAATTGTATCACTTCAAGCCGATGGACGTGGACTCCGCCCGAAAATACGGTTATTGAAGTTGCTGCGGTGCATGATTCGACCATCGTCATTGGCTTATCAACCATTAATGGAAACGTCATAGCTCTACTTCGTTTAGATTTTGACGATACGTGAGTGTTTATGCACTTCTAATTGTATCACGGTATAACAATATATATTTACTGTTTCTTTTAAATAGAAGGCACGTAACCTTCACTGAAGTTTCACAATCCAGCCTGGACTGTCAGTTATGCTTTATCAGATGCATCTCACCAAGGTTTTTATAAATTGATTCATTTTTGCGGAATTATTGAATGTACCGACAACACACACTGATTTCGAGTTCGTCATATTTCACTCAAGTGATCTTGTCCCTTATCCTCTTTGTGTTGTTGGGACGTTTAAACCAAGTATTAAGCTCTTATCATTAAAGCCTGATAATTATCTGGAGATGTTACATGAGGAACTTTTAGGTAAGTTTCTGTCTATAGCTTGCGTATTACTATTAGTTCATTTCGAATTTCTTTAAAATGTTCCTATATGTACATACATATACTTTTGCTTTACAGTGGATTATTCTATTATGAATGTAAATATACCTGAATCTGCGTGTATCATTGGAAGTGTGGAGATGCCATTCTTCTTAGTTGGTAAGCATAAACTCTTATCATGATAGTCTTTTGATGTTAATTTCGTGCAAATACATAGTTGATAATAATTTTTATAGGCCTTAGGGAGGGTACAATCATTTATTACCAATGGTCTTGGTTTTCAGGTAGCCATAAACCTTATTCATCCTTAAAAGTACTTGTGTTGAAAATTTTCCTCTAATATATTTATTAATTAGCTGAGAACAAACCCCATCTTACAAACCCGGTGGTCAGACGAATCGGCACATTACCTGTCAAGTTTATTGTACCAGATTCAAGTCAAACATTTATTAGAGAACAAAATGATTCTCATACTGTACTGGCGTTATCGGATAGACCGTGGCAAGTAGAACATTCAAATCATACCGGGCTGAATTTTGTATGCGTGGCATTTGAACATTATGAACATGTATGAATCAATTTAATTAAAAATGTCCAGTTTGTTTTTCTTATGTATATAATTGATTTTTTTTATTATTTACACTTTTTATAGGTGCAAGATGCCACAGTTTTCCGTTATGATAATTTATCACAGGGTTATATGTTTATTTCACAAAACTGTCTCAATTTCGTGCAGTTAAATAATTTCACAAAGGACAATATAAGAACGATACCCGTACGAGACGTAGGTTATTTCTATACTTTCAATCAAAATTATAATTCCAATTCTAAGTTTTATTCACTCAATTAGACACCACGTAGATTGTTTTATGATGAATCCAATAAATTAATAGTAGTTGCATGCACAAGTTGTAGAGATGATTTCCCAATTTCTGTTTTAAAACTCATTGATCCAGTAAAGTGAGTGGTTTCTTCAGTATAAATATTGGTAAAGTTCTCAAGGTAACGAATAAATATTATTTTAGTGGAGATATTATACACGAATCTAAATTGCAGGATGAGGACTATCCTGATAACCTTGAGGCTGTTTATTCAATCACAGGTATTGAATTTAATTGACACTGATTGAATTATTCTTTTTATGAATTGATTGGTTCATTTTGCGATTATTAGGATGGCAGTTCACGATTGAAAGGCAAGAATATCGTTGGATATGTGTTGGGATTGGTGTACATGATGCAGAAGAAAGGCATATGATTGGGAACGTT